AATCTAAAAGTCTTTTGGTGGAGCTTTTGGGGTCTTCGGTGTAGAGTATCATGTCATCCACAAATAGTGATCATTTAACTCTTCCTTTTCTAGCCTTACTCCTTTTATTTCTTTCTTTTGTCTAATTGCTCTGGCTGATATTTCCAGAGCTACACTGAAAAAGAGTGGTAGCAGTGGACATCCTTGTCTTGTTCCTGGTTTTAGAGCAAAAGGTTTTGGTTTTTGTCCATTTAGTACGATGTTGGCTGTCGGTTTGTCATAGATGCTTTTATCAGGTCGGTTTGTCATAGATGCTTTTATCAGGTACAGACAAAGACCATCTATTCCAAGGTTCTGGGCCGGGATTTAGCTCAGTGGTACTGCCGCTTGCCTTGCAAGATCAAGGTACTGAGTTCGATCCCAGGTACCAAAATAATTTTTTTTTCTATTGGGTTTTTATCGTGAATGGGTTTTAGACTTTGTCAAATATTTTTTCTGCATCTGTCGAGATGATCATTTGGTTTTTGTCCCTTAGTTCTGTTAATGTCACATAGTAGATTTATTGATTTGTGTATATTGAACAATCCCTGCTCACTGAGATGAATCCTACTTGATCACGTTATACAAGCTTTTTGGTGATTGGCTGCATTCTGTCTGGCAGTATCTTATAGAACATTTTTATGTCATGTTCATTAGGGAAATTGGCCTGTAGCTCTCTTTTTTGTTTGGCTCCTTCTCTGGTTTTGGTATCAAGATAATGCTTACTTCTAGGAATGTGTTTGAGAGTATTGTTTCCCTTTCAATTTCATTAAAGAGCTTGAGAAGTAGTGTTGTTAGGTCTTCTCTAGATTTCTTGCAGAATTCAGCAGTGATTCGGTGAGCTCCTGGACTTTCCTTTGTCAGTATGTTTTAATTACATCTTCAATTAATTTTTTTTTCTTTTCTTGAGGTACTGGGGATTGAACTTCGGATTTTGTGCTTGCAAGGTGGGCAGTGGCACAAGTAAGCTAAATCCCTGCTTTACATCTTCAGTTTCATTAACTGATATTGGTTTATTTAAAATTCTTACATCTTCTTGATTTAGCTTTGGTAATTCATATCTATCTAGGAGTTTTCCATTTCTTCTGTATTTTCCATCTTATTAGAATACAGGTCCTCGAAGTAGGATATTAATGATCTGAATTTCTGCAGGATCCATTTTTATTTCACCCTTTTCATTCCTAATTGCATGGATTTGAGTTTTTTCTTTTTTTATAAGGTTGGCTAAGGGTTTGTCAATTTTCTTTAATCTTTCAAAGATGAATATATTCTCTTTTTTTCATTAATTCTTTATATTGTTTTCTTAGTCTCCATTGCATCAATTTCTGCTCTGATATTTATAATTTCCTCCCTCATATGAGCTTGGGCTTGACTTGCTCTTCTTTTTCTAGAAGATTTAGGTTCAAAATTAGGTTGTTTATTTGACCTTGGTCTGTTGTTTTTGTTTTTGTTTTTGAGTCAGGGTCTCCCTATGTAGTTCAGGTTGGACTTGAACTCATTATAGAGCTCAGGCTGAGCTCAAATTTGGGGCAATCCTTCCTCGTCAGCCTCCTAAGGGATGGGATTACAGGCGTGTACCAGCACGTTCAGCATCGTTCTGCTTCTCTAATATGAGAATTCACCGATATAAATTTCACTCATAGGATGGCTTTCATTGCATCCCATAAGTTCTGGTATGCTGTACTGGCACAAGGTCCTGAGTTTGATCCCCAGTACCAAAAAACATAAAAAAACAACAAAAAAAGACTTTGGGAAGATTTTTCTCCCCTAAATTATTCTTAAATGACAAAATGATTTTCATTATTAAAAAATGAAGTTGTTGGGAAAAAAAGAGAACCAATTATTTATTATTATTATTATTATTATTATTATTACTATTATTTTGGTTTTTTGAGACAGGGTCTCACTATGTAGTTGAGACTGACCTGGAACTCCCTATGTAGTCTCAAACTCACAGTGATCCTCCTGCCTCAGCCTCCCAAGTGCTGGCCCTCTAGTTTGTTTTAGATTTTGTTATATATCCACAAATATAGTTCATCGAGTTAAAGGTGGCAAATTAATAGTTACCACAGTTTGTCATTTCCTAGCTGTATTTGATGTTATTGGTGATTATACTACTTTAGCCAAGGTGACATAATTTTTCTAATCAGTTGTTCTTCCTGGACGGCCAAGACTGAGATTGCTTATGGGTCATAAACAATATTATAGGCCAGTGCCAAAGAACCAGGGGCTAGGTCAAATAGGTAGAACTTCTCATCCCCAATAAGTTGAAGAGGTAAGATCTTGCAACAGACTGAAAACCCAAAAGCCAGGTATTCTTGTAAGACATCTCTGAGAAGTAGTTTTCTAAGGGTTCTAAATTCTAGAAATGAAGCTACCTGCCATAAGCAATTTATAAGCATCAACCCAAGAATTAAATTTTTAAAAATAGAAAATTAGAAGACACTTAAGCAAGATGAAACCACAGACTTTCAGCTCACCAAAGGCAAACCTAGGGGGGAATGATGGAGAAAAATCCAGAAGCCATCCAACTGTCTGAAGAGGTTACAGCAAAAGTAACAAAGAGATGAATGAGGCTCTAGAAAAAAGGCAAATCAGAAATAATTTTTCAGATAACTACAGAGGGAGGATGGGATAAAGGAAAGGAGCAGGGTACATCATGTATAAGTGCAAATTCTCCATGATGAGTGTTATCATTGTGTATATCTAAAGTGTATTAGTAAGTGTTTTGCTTTAAAAATAAATAAAGCAAACCAGACAATTGTATACAGTAAATATTCCCTCAATGTGGCAATTTTACCCTCAAGGAAGAAAATATAAAAGGGGCTGGAGAAAAAAATTGAGAAACAGAAGAAGAGGAAGAGATTAGAAGTAAGGCTGGAGGACAAACTTTGGGAACTGGTCAAGACAAGAGGGAAAGAGAGAAGGAAGAAATAAAAACAAGAACAAAGCAATACAACAACAAAACTAGAAATAATGTTCACATGCATATAAAAAATAAAAATAATCAAGAAAAAAAGAAAACAAAAAGAGAAAAGAAGAAAAAAACCCTAAAACCAGTGTCCGCTTCAGGGCATGTTTCTGCTGTTACTAGGAGACAAAGTGGGCAGACAAAGCCCAGACCCATGCTGATGAATCCCTGCAAGCCAACCTTAGATTTACGGCAAAGTAGTGGATAATCCCAGCAAACCTTCACTTTTAGTTCCACTGAAGTTCAGGCTGGTTTCTGGCTGTGAGGCTAGAACTCAATTTGCTCAGCCTGCAACACTCCATGTGCCTCCTCTGCTCTTTGACCTCCTGCCAGCTCCTCAGCTCCTTGAACTCAGTTCCACCTTAGCCTGACACTGGGAGCCTCTCCATGGAGCTGGCCTACAGCTGCTCTGAGTTCTGAGCTCAGTTAGCCCCTCTCCAAGATGATGCCTGACCAATCGCCCTCTCGAGGGTGTTTGAACCCAGGTAACTCACCAGCCACTATAGTCCACTGCATCTATCACTCTACTCCACTGGTGCGTTTCTCTGAGGAGGCCTCTGAGGTCAGCAGTAGTCACCATGCATCTGCAGGTTTGAGCCACCCTCCCAAGCAATAAGTCAGGGCTCTGGGAGAATGCTGCTTGCCACCTCCTTCTTTGTATTGAGGCCTCTCTCCTTGCTCTCTCTGTGGGCTTCAATTCTCATTTCAGATCTTTTCTGGGTCCTAGGGACCCACTTCCCTCCTTCCCTTCCTCATGTTGCCATACTCCAGCACCTGGACCCCAAATCTCAGAAAGGCTGTTTCTGTCCTGTTCACCACTCTGCCATCTTCCTGGAAGTCCTCAAAATTCTTTGTGTGTTTGTTTTGTTCTGTTTTGTTTGCAGTACTGCACACTGATTCCAGGGGCACTCTATCACTGTGGTATGTCTCTAGCTCATTAAAAACAAATTTTTTCTTGTGTTAAATTAAAACTAAGCTTTGTTGTGATACTGTTTTCTCTTCAAAATGTGATGGTACAGGAAAGGTGTTAAATGAAGGGGTAGTATTTTAGGGGAGCATTGTAAATTGCAGAGGTTAAAAAGTTATAATATTTATAATTTTGATGTTTCATTTTTATAGCAAAGATTTTTTACAAGCCAGGGATTTAATTCAGTGGTGCCACTGCCTGCCTGGCAAGCACAAGGTCCTGAGTTTGATCCCCAGTACCAAAAAATGTAAAACAACAACAACAAAAAGACTTTGGGAAGATTTTTCTCCCCTAAACTATTTCTTGAATGGCAAAATGATTTCCATTATTAAAAAATAAAGTTGTTGGGAAAAAAAAAAGAGAACCAATTATTTTTTACATGAATCCCAGCACTCAGGAGGCTGAGGCAGAAGAATCACGAGTTTGAAACCAGCACAGGCTACATAGGGAGTCTGAGGCCAGTCTAGGCTACATAGGGAGATCTTGTCTCAAAAAGAAAAAAGTTGAATTTTGACAAGTCTCCCTAAGTTACTAAATTGCCCAGCTGGCCTTGGACTTGTGACCTTCCTGCCTCAGCTTCCCAATACTTGGGATTATGAGTTTACGCCATTATGCATGGCATTTTTAGTTTTACAGATAAGCCAAAGTCCAGGAACATAAATCATTTGGACAATAAATCATAGCTGCTGAGAAGAGGTTCTTTCTCCTTGTATGCTGAAGATATGAATATGGGCTACTCAAAGTGGGGTCTGTAGATCAGCCATGTTCTGTGAGCTGTTTTAACCAGTCCTTCATGAGACAAAGTCTTGCCCAGAAGTCAATTATGACACTAAGCACACCATTTAGTTCAACTGCTATTATACTTTAAAAGTGCTTCCAAGAATTATTAATAAGCAGTTGGAACATTCCTACTTAAACCCTATTATACTAGCAAATAATAAAGAATATAAAGGAAGAAAGAATAAAGGAAAAAATCAAAACTGACACAATAAACCAATAAATGAGATCACATACAAGATGTGTCTTCCAATATTAACAACGTACCATATTCACATGCATGGAATTCCTGTCAGCATCGCTGTAAACAGCCACAGACTGCAAACCCATTTTCTTGGCTGTTCGCATCACCCGGCAGGCAATTTCTCCTCTGTTTGCAATGAGGATCTTGGTAATGTTTCTTCCTATTGAAAATAACACGAAGATCACACAGAAATGTTACTGAGGACCGAGACATGGGAATGAGAATATGCTAGTAGCTAGCTGATGAGAGTTTGTTTGGGTAAAATAAGTATAATGGAGCCTAAAATCACCACTTTAATATTTGAATGTGCACTTCTTTTCATGGAAATCCAACATACCTCTATTAACATAAACTCTTAAATTACTTCGCTTTTTCAACTTAAAATAAAATCAAAAGTACTTTGTTATGAAAAGGGTAAAATTACAGTAGCTTTTAAAAATTGTCTTAGTTGATAATAACAACTCATTTTTATTTAGTACTATTTATGACCCAGGTCTTACGCTAAGGGGTCAATAGGAACTTTAACTCTCGTATTAGCACAGAGAAACACAGGAGCTTCGTGAGTCACTCCCTTCCCTTTGTTCAACTGTAAATGCAACACCACCCTAATGACTATCCAGGCTTACACTCAGGAGGTTGAACAAATGGCCCATCAGTGAGAGAGACAGAGGGGGCACCTTGGCTCAGTGGTGTCAGAAGCCTGAGTTATTCAGCCTCTTCTTTGTCCTCCACATTTGGGTCCCTATTTCCTTTTGGCCTTGAGTCCCTTTTACCCTTCATTCTCTTTCCCTTTGCCCTTCTCCCTGTTGCCGCTACTGTCCTGTGATCTTCAGTAAATGTAGATACTTACTACCTACTCCAAGGTGTAGCAATTCTTTCCTTTTTGTACACAAGAACCTGGACTATTTTTTGGCCCACTCAGCGGTACCAATATTAGTCCTAACAAAGTGCAGTACAGTATCCCTGTGTATCCTTGCAGGATTGATTTCAGGACTCCCTGGATGCTTAAGTCCCTTACATAAAACGGTGTAGTATTTATATATAACCTACCCACATCCTCTACCCCTAGATTACTTATCATAGCCTAATACAATGTAAATGCTTTGTCAATAGTGTTACATGGTACTGTTTAGGAAGTAATGACAAGAAAAAGTGTGTATATGTTCAGTATAGATCAATTATTTTTTGTAAAGATACATTGTCTATTATACATTGTTTTACAGATGGAGAAACTAAGGATGAACAAGATAGTACCTTCTTAAATGTATACAGCTAAAAGAAGAGGCGGGGGTCCAGAATTTGGACACAAGTCTGCCTCATTCCAGAACCTGCACTCCAAGTTACGCTGTCTCACGCACGTGCGACCACGCAGTTCTCTTCCAAGGGAGATGCCCATTACCTCAGTCTGCATCAGTAACATACATCAGTAACATGCTGTTGCACCTCTTTCTGTCATCATGCATGAAATAGATGCTCTTTGGCAGCTTATAATAAAGTCATTGTCAAAAAATAACGTTCCAGAGAACAAGAATCTATATAGCCCAAGACTGTCACAGGCTACAGGATCTGCTGGGATGAAGAATTTATGAGAATGCCTGGGGGGAAGTAGAGGGTTACAGCCAATCAACCAGAATATAAACTTTTACCATACTCCATATGTTTAATAGTGGAGAAATCCCTACAATTTTATTATTTTATTTGAAAAACAAAAGAAACCCTTTACCTACAACAATTCTTTCAAAAGCATTGATTTAGATCATCATAGCTATGCTTTACAATTTGATTTGCTGAACAGACTAAAATAACAAAATAAATATAAAATATTCTCCATTATTACCCCCTATATTTTAGGCTGGACCACAAGGGAGATTTGATACAAAGCAAGTGAAAACCTGACTTAGTAATTAGTAAGAAAATTATAAAAATTCACAACGTAAACGGTTCATGGGAAGTAATTCTGTTACACATAAATTACAAATTAAACATTTTTCTTTCTTAGTTTACAGTCTGAAGTCAAGCCAAATACAATAATAAAGTGTGTCAGTACCTGTGGCTGTAGCATATTTCATGTTTCTTTGCTTCCAAGTCCATTTTCTACAAAACAAATCCAAATGGAATTGTAATCAGAACATACATGATCGATCACTGTTCTTTCAAAAGAATCCAAAAATTTTAAAACATGAAACCAAATCCAGATACAATCTCAATTAAACCAGTGGGGGTATGGTGGCACATGCCTGTAATCCCAGCCTTCAGGAGGCTGAGGCAGGAGGATGGCTGTGAGTTCCAGGCCAGCCTGAACTACATAGCAAGACCTTGTCTCAAAGAACAAACAAACAAACAATACCCTTATGCCCTCTAGCAAAGTGATTTAACAACAGTTTTCTTTGTACAAAGAAAACTAGTCCAAAAATCAAGAGTTAGATTTCTGGCTGTTTTCCCCTTACACTGCAAGTTCTAACCTATTTATACCTGACACTGGCATTTAACCACAGAGTCAGAGACACCAGAGAGCCTATAGTCGGATGTGGTGGTGCACACCTGTGATCCCAGCACTCAGGAGGCTGAGGCAGGAGGGTTGCTGTGAGTTCGAGACCAGCCTGGGCTACATAGTGAGTTCCAGGTAAGTCTCAACTACATATGAGACCTTGTTTAAAAAAAAAAAAAAAAGCCAAGGTGCTTCAAGATCCCTTACTTAGGCTTGTTTCAAGCATTTTTTTTTTCATTTTATTGAGGTTATTGGTACAATTTAGGTATACAATACAATTACATTCATCATTGGGATTCTGTACCTTTACATAATAGGTCTTGATTCTCATTTTTCCCCTTGTCCCTGCCCTCCCTTCACCCCCTCCTCCCCTCCCCATTTACAAACACTTTATTTCCATTTTTCAGTTTCTCATATTTTTTTCCTCTCCCTTATTACCTTTCCCCCACCCTTCCCACTTTCCTTACACCTTTAGCCCTTTACTTCCTATTTCACATTATTAATTATCTCATTAGGATCCTGTGTACTATTATAGTTTTTCACACCAAAGAAACTATTCGGTATTTCAGTTAAAGAAATCTCTGTATGAACATTAAAAATAGGGAATCCTAAAATAAAACTAAAAAGGAAAGTAAAAGAGAAAAGGCAATGATGTAACATCAAAATAATCCTTAATTCTGGAGATGAAAATCAAGCATTTTTTATTGTAATTCACAGCTCACAGTAAAATCTACCTGGTATGCACACAATTAGGTTTCACGAAAGAGGATTCCCCTTGCATTTTGACACTTTCTATTGCATTAGATAACTTATGCCAGTCACACTAGTTTGAAAAATACTAATCAAATTCAATCCTCTGATAAGGAAGGATTAACATTCAGACCAGAGAAGTAAACAAAAGAAAGGTGAACAAGGACAGCAGACAGAAAGCACACTAAAGGGGGCCACATGAGCTGAGCTCTCACCTGAGACTCTCAAAGGTCAAGTTAACTTACATCAGTGTATCTCAACCCCCCATGCTATATTTCTAATGAAAAGATTTATCCACTGAGAAATAAGATTTTATAGGAAGAATTTAGCTTTATGGGATCAGAAACCATGATAATATCTAAGATATTTTTACTTTCCCAAGAATCACTCTTTGCCAGGCGTGGTGGCGCATGCCTGTAATCCCAGCCCTCGGGAGGCTGAGGCAGAAGGATCACTGTGAGTTCGAGACCAGCCTGGGCTACATAGTGAGTTCCAGGTCAATCTCAACTACATAGTGAGACCTTGTCTCAAAAAACAACAACAACAACAACAACAAAAACAAAACAAAACAAAACAAAAGAATCACCCTTTGCCCTGGATAGCATCTCAGTTGGTGTGCAGGCTCTATACCTTGGATACAGTGTCCTCACACAGGACAGAAGACTGCAAGAAGCAATCCTGAAGATACTTCTCAGTTTTAAAAATATACTATTCTATCCCAAATCCTTATATTAAAAGAAAGTGGAGAAGAAGGGTGACAGAACAACTTGTCTGAGATGTCTTAACTAAACAGAAATCTGACAAGGTCTATGACAATTTTTAAATTCTATGATAGCTACTTATAAATAAGTTAACCAAGAGCTGACAGAATGCAGGCCAGATTCACTTTGAGAATGAAAGAATGTAATACCTATTAGTTTTCAGCTTGAGAGAGAATATGCTGGAAAACCAACAAATTGCAGAAGCAATCCCACCTTAGTCTTTTCCATCTATATCTGGAAAATGTGGTAAAATCGTGGTTACAAGGACTGATCATTTTAGATTCATCATAAAGCACAAGATAAAAAAAAAAGCACAGTGTATCTCAATGTGTACTAAACTAAAATCAAAACGGATCGAAGATCTAAATGTTAAAGTAAAAACACAATCTGCTAGAAGACAAAACAGGTAAAACTCCTGAAGACAAAGGTGTAGGCAAGAACTCCGTACACAACCCCAAATGCACAAGAAATAACATCAAGAATCAACAGGTGGGGAGCCGGGGATTTAGCTCAGTGGTTCTGCCACCTGCCTCACAAATGCAAGGTCCCGAGTTTGATCCCTGGTACCAAAAAAAGAAAAAGAAAAGAAAAAGAATCAACAGATGGGATCATATTAAATTAAGAAGCATCTGCCCAGCAAAGGAAACTACAGAGTGAAGAGACAATTACACAATGGGAAAAAATTTTTGCCAGCTATTCCCCAGAGGACTAATATCTATAGAATACATAAAAAACTAAAAAAAAAAAATTAGACCCCCAAATAATAATACTCAACTCTAACCCTCTATCCCAACAACGTTCTGAATGCTTTACTTTTTTCACAATTATCTAAGCTACAACTAAAGAAGTGATTTACAAGATTAAGAAATTGCTCCCATGAGCTAATCACACTCTCAGTAAGGATAGCTTCTATTCTCGTGCCTATATCCCCACCACTGGAGATCCTCATCTCTGAGTTATTTAGAGAACCAGTGCAGAAAAAGAAATGTAAAATCCTCATACTGATAACATTTTATTCTATCAATCATTAATAGGTTTAAGATTCTCCAAGTGGCAGCTAGATGAGAATCATTCTATAGACAACAGTCCAGCTCTGAGAGAAGAGAGAAAACTGCATCCCGAAGAGCCCTGGGAACCTAGGAAATGCCAGGAGAAAGAGAAGAGCACTAACATGACTTTCACCAACTTTCTTATTTTGCTCGAGAGCTGGTTCTGTGAAAAGCCAAGGCATCTGCAATCATTCGTGGAAAATACAAGCAAACAAAATAGTTGATGTAGGTGACAGAGTCTATGAAGGCTCTGTTTGTGGATAGATTCATTGGACCTGATTCGGTTTAAACTTCTTTCCATATGTTAATTGTATAAGAGAAAGTACCAATATCATCACCCCCTTCTAGGTGAGGAAACATATTAGGCAACTCAGCCAAGGGCACACAACACACCTAGTGAACGACCGAGATCCCAGTCTTCCGACTGTAGTCTGTGCCCTTGAGTATGGAGCTACACCGTCCTGCCAGAATAATGGAGATTGAAGGACAGGAAGATGTTACTTAGAAACTTAAGGTATTTTCATTGCCGAAGTTATTGTTACTGAAGCCCAAAATCTGAAATGAATCGGAAGTCAGGTTGCTGGTGAATCACCTGACAGCTTTGTTCGAACTTGGGTACCAGAGCTTTTGATAGAACTTCCCAGCCCTCTGGAAGGTAAATGTGCTCTTGTTAACTTGATTCATTCCGACAATGGGGGAAATCTCCCCAGGATTCTTAGGGGTTGGGGGATGGCTTGAGACGGGCTTTGAGACTGGCGAAGCCCTAGCTCTTCCTACAGCGTCACCTTGAGCAGATCTTCGATTCCCCCTGAGCTTCCAGAGAACCAGGTTGCAACCACGTCCCACGCAAGCAATGCTGTGAAAGCCCGACGTAAACGCAGGAAGGCAGGCCCGGATCCACCTCTGCCCGGGTGCTCATAATGGAAAATCAAAAGTCAAGTGCGGACGGAAGGTGGATGTGCTACAAGCACTGACAGCAGAATCCCCTGGAAAGGCGCTGGGGATTTCCCCGACCCTCGGCTCCCCCCACAGATCGCGCGGGTCCGTGCTCAGCGGCCTTGGTCCCGGCGCACTCATCCACGCCCCTCTGCCCACCCTTACCTCGGAGGCAGCAGCAGGCTCGGGAAACGCAGCCGCCGATTCCTCTCTGCCGCCACCAGCAGCACAGATACGGCCGAGGCAGAAGCCATATCCTGGGAAAAACGGCTGTAGAATGTAAACACCGACTCTCACACATCCAAACGCTTGCCTCGGCTCGGTAAGCCTATTGTCTTTCGCCGGCCACCGTCCGACCTAATTGCTAGTGAGGGCGTTTTCATGAGAGCCAACCAAAGAACAGAAGAGGGCTTCGGTGGCGACGATTGGCCAGTCGGGCCGCGTACCCACGAAGGTGTGGTCTCTTCCGGTCGAGCCCCTCGGGCTCCGAGCCAACTCCTGGAAGGGTTTTTGTGTGTGGCCGTGGGCTTCCCACGTTCTCCTTTTACTTGAGGAAAACTCTCCCTCCCTGACCTTTCTCACGAAAGCGCCCGCCCTGGAGAAAAAGCCAAATGGAGGTAGAGAGCAAAACACCATTCTCCAGTGTCTTCAAGAATGAAATAAAATAACAAAACTACCACCAAAAAACGAGTTGTAATTATTAGGAAAAATAAATCAAAATCAAATGGAAGAATACTAGAAAATGAAAAGATACTATAAATACTGTGCTAATTTGATACAACCAAAGCAGAGATCATACAAAAAATCCGAGTAAATCAAGCCATACAAAAATCACAGTAAACTAAACATCCAACTGAAGAACTAGAAAAATAAACATGAGGAAAACACTAGGAAGAAATTAGTAAAGAAAAGAAGTTAACGAATTGAGAAAACTAATATCAAAGGACTAATAAATCTAGTGATTTAGGAAAACGAAAAGCTGGTTAATCAGAAATAAAAAGAAAATGCACACCTGGCATAAAAAAAGTATGGGAAACCATAGATACAAAAAACCACATTATACATTTGTAAGAAGTTACTTTTGCTCAACTTTGAAAAACAAACTTGAGGGCTCAGTTTGAACCCTCCAAACAGAATGTCCCCCCTCCAGCTACCTAAACTGGCGTTCTTTTTTATCTTCCTGCTGTTTCCAATTAAAACTTTTTTTCTGTTAAAAGCAAATAACAAAGCTGGGGCGTGGTGGTGCACACTTGTAATCCCAGCACTCAGGAGGCTGAGGCAAAAATATCTCCGTGAGTTTGAGGCTATCCTGGGTTACATAGTGAGTTCAAAGCCAGCCTGAACTATATAGTGAGACCTTGTCCCAAAACAAAGGAAACAAAAGAAAAAGCTGGATGAGATTTGCCAGAGGAGCCTGCAGTTCTCCCTCCAACATGCATTGCTGAATCTGAAAGACCACAGGTTGGGTGCAAGCTGTGCAGTCCAAGGAAAGCTCGGCAGTGGAGTCCTTGCCTATACTGGGCAAATTCCCAGGCCAAAGCCGTCTGTCTGGTAAGTGCTTTGTGTCCTAAGACTGTTCCGCCTAGTGTCCCCACCATGCTGAGTCACTGTCTGGCAGCTACTGGAGAACTACAGTGGGTGTGGTAAAAGCTTTCAGAGCACAACAGTTGGAACCCTTAGTTAATGACCCTGGGAAGACTGCAAAGTATATTCTCACTCTCATGGCCACCACAACCTGGAATATAAAAAGGAAACGCCTCTCCTCTGCATCTCCTCCTCCTGTCCCACCACAAAACTCATGACAGGTGGGAAACAGAAAAATGTGGCCTAAGATTGCTCCAGTTGGTGACTGAAGAAAACGAACACGGTGACAAGATCAAGACTGACTGGAGATGTGGTGGGGCTACTTTAGGTAGGGAAGTCAGCGAGGGTCCCCCGGTGTCGTGACCTGAGCAGAGGAGCAAGACATGGGGCCTGGAGAGGGGGAAGGGGCAGACCCCACAAGGGTGGCATAGGACCAGGAGCAAGTCAGCTCTGTCCAGCGTGGGGAAACAAGGGACAGAGGTAGGGCCAGAACTGACAGGTCCTTGAAAGCACAGAGGGAAGTCACCGAAAGGGCTTTTATCAGAAGGTGATGTGACCCAATTTATGTTCGGAACAGTGGACTCTAGCGGGGACAGAAGAGAAGATCCTTACGGTAGTCTGGGAGAGAGATGACACTGGCTTAGCCTGGGGTGATGAGAAGCGATTGGATTCCAGACACAGTTTAAGGTCAGTGCTGACTTGCTGAAGGAGAATAGAAGATGAGAAAGAAAAACCAGGGAAGCCTCCAAGGGTTTTGGAAACGATCAGGCGGTGATGAAGCAGATTTGGGTGGTTGTGGTCAGTTCACTGAGCTGCAAGGCTCAGAAACGCACGGTCCACTCCCTGTCACTGCCGTGAAGTGGATGTTCAAGGAGGACCACTCGCTGGGACACAGATGCGTATAACCTGCCAAGATCCAGGCAAAATAGCCCGATCGAGTTCCAGTGATTGTGGGACATCTCAGGCTCTCCGGCTGTTGACACTGAGATGGAAGCACGTGGTTCCATGTGACACCACTGAGGCTCATTTCCTGTGGTCATCAGGTAAAGGGTGCAGCTTCAGCTGACTTTCAGTAAAGGAGATTCTCCTCGGCGAGGTGGGTGGACTGACCAGTTGAAGGCCTCAGCACAAACATTTTCCAGAGAAGTCTGCCTTGAGACTTCAGCATCAACTCTCGTCTGAGTCTCCAGGCACGTAACCTCCCATTTGTTGTGGGTTTGGGGAGAGCCCTAACTGATGAAGTCTATGTTTAGGGAGCTGGAAGGAGGCAGAAGGACCAGCAGAGTAGGAAGTAGTAGAAAACAGAGACTCTGGAGTGTGAGGGTCAGAGGCCACAGATAAGAGAGTTTCAAAGAAAACTTGGTAAACAGTTTTTGATCACAAGAGAAGTTTCGGAGGTGAGAACTGCAAAGTTTGGTGATAAAAAAATTCTATTTTCAAATATCTGCCTGTTGTCTGGAGTTCTGCTGTTTTTTAAAATTAATGAATCATAAACTTTATTTCAAAACATAAATGTCACTAAACATGCATATATGTTAATACAATAAAATTTATAGTTTTGTTATTTTTTTTCTTTTTGCATGGGACACCATTACAATATAGAATCTATGCCTTACAAAATACATACAAAGTTTCCTTCACACAAGTCAAGGCCAGATTGGGGACTGTACAACTATAATTCTTGACTGTAGCGATCCAGGAAAGATGAAATGGGGCCTCTGGAAGCATGCTGGGAGCTGGGTAAAAGAGAAGGAAGTTCCCATAGCAAAGGAAACTGAAATTGATGGAAGTGGTCTCAGACTCTTGGGTTCTGCCTTGGGATTTTGGCAAAGGATTCCCGAGAAGCTCCACCCATGGTTTTGGATGGGAAGGGGTTGCCTGGGTGCAGCCAACACAACCACAGCTGTAAACCTCCAGAGCTGTGCGAGCCCTGAACCCAACGATGCCACGGTCACCAGCAGAGCCCGACGCTGACACCCACGCAGTCCCAGCACTGGGCACCTGAGGCCGGCGGCGGGGGGGCAGGAAACAGTCTCCAGTTCACATGCTCAGAGGCAGGCAGGATGGAGCCATGCTGGAAAGCGGCCCCTTCTTGGGGTGTCTGGCAACCCCGGGGGAGGAATCCTCTGAGTACAGGCTGTGGGCTCTATGGGATGGACCAGCTGACCCGCCCTAGCCTCCTAGAAGACATTCAGCTCACCACTAGGCTTCCAAATGCAACGCACAGCAGCCTGTGGACTGAGGCCCTAGGAAGACATCAGGAGGACCAGGGAGCTGTGTGCGAGCACAATTTAGGGCAGGGGAAGCTGCTTCTCTCCTCTTTGTTTGTAAATAAAAGCAGTACAGTTTAATTTTTCGTTTTTTAAGTAGTACAGTTTTAAAGCTGACTGAGACCAGGAGAGGCTGGGCAGAACCAGGTGGCTGCACATCAAGTCCAGCAGCCCGGCAAGGGTCCACAGAACCCAAAGGTGGCCTCCCTTCCTGTGGACACCGAGAATGCACAATTCCACTCTCCGGAGAGACAGGCTGGGCTGGCCAGCAGGAGGGAGGCCGCTCCCTCAGTGGTGCTCAGGCATTCGTTACTCAGTAGTAAGCTGGATTGTACATCCAAATTCTGGTACCAAATTCTCTGAAATGCGTCCAGGACAAACCCCGGAAAGCTTCCAAATTAGGAAAGTTAGTCAGAGGATCTGGACCTTCCTGGGGTGGAGGTGCACTATTTTGTTTTTGTTTGTTTTTTTGTTTTTTGAGACAGGGTCTCACTATGTAGTTGAGACTGACCTGGAACTCACTATGTAGCCCAGGCTGGTCTCAAACCCACAGTGATCCTCCTGCCTCAGCCTCCCAAGTGCTGGGATTACAGGCGTGCGCCACCACACTGGAAAGAAAATGAGGGACAATGTCTTGTTTTGTTTTTACAACACAGGGTTTCACTATATAGTTCAGGCGGACCTTGAACACACTGAATAGCCCAGGCTAGCCTCAAACTCATGGCCATCCTCCGGCCTCAGCCTCCTGAATGTTGAGATTACAGGTGTGGACCACCACAGCCAGCTCGAGAGATGTCTTTTTATTTTGTTGGTACTGGGAATCAAACTTTGACTCTGCGCTTGTGAAGCAGGTGGTGGAAGCACTGAGCTAAATCCCTCGCCCAGAAATGTCTTCTTAAACTACCCAATTAGGAGTATCTAGCCAGTGACTATGGAGTTTCAAAGTGGGTTCTCAGAGTGATTAGAGCTGTCTTTCCAGGAAAGGAGGCCCATGACAGGTGGTAGGAATTAATGGAGGCAGGGAGGTCCTGCTGCCTTGAAAAATTTCTCTTGCCAATTTTTATCCAGCCCTAAAACTTTATTAGCAAAGTTTCCTAGTGGAAAATCCTAGATCACTGTGGGTGTTGCCTTCCAAAAGGATTTTAGTTATTCATGTGGAGTTCAAAGTTAGTTTCCATGAGGGTGAGCTTTTTTTGGGGGGGTACAGGGGATCAAACTTGGGACCCTGAGCTTAGCTTGCAAAGCAGGTGGTGGAACCATTAAGCTAAGTCCTCAGCCCAGGCTGCACTTTTTACAAGCTTGACTTCTGAATGGCTCTTCGACTTTCTGTTGTGATGTGATCTCTCACTTTCGCAAGCATCCCCATTGTGATGCTGTCTGCTGTAGGTCTGCTGTCACCAGAGCCACATTAATACAAGTGCCTAACCTTGGCCTGTCCAGCTCCAAAACTGCTGAGCTAAATGAACCTCTTTTCTTTATAAAGTTGCTAGCCTCAGCTTTTTTTTTTTTTTTTAATATAGTAACAGGAAACCAACTAAAAGGGGTACTTAAGAAAGTTAGCCAGGAGGGACAGGAGACAGTATCTCGAAAGCAAGGGAGTTAGGGAACCTTGACAGCAGTTTGATTCACAATTTCTTTTCCCACAGCCAGTCTTTCTCTTTGAACATGTCAGGTGAAAAACAAAGCAGGCAAAATTGCTTGACTTCCCTTTTCATGCCTGCCAGTATTTGTCAAAATTGGAATTCTCTGGGAGTTGCTCGGGTGGGAGTGAAGACCCTGAGAATGGGGAGGCACCAGTGTGTCAGAAAAAGAGACAGCTCATTCCTTGGCAGATTTTCCTTCACCCTTGTATGTTAAGCTCCTTTTACATAGGGGGCAGAGGGAAGCCTGTCAGCAAATCACTCTAAAAAACAAAGCATTTTGGGTCAGGAAGGTTGGCTCTTACATTTGTATCTTCAGACCTTTGAGGCTTTCAAATAGGCTGAGGTTGGCTTAGAGTCCTAAATCCAGAGGGAGAACCACTGGGATCCAACATCCTGTGAGCCCTAAGCTGTTTAGAAGTATAAACTGGGTGCGGTGGCACACACCCGGAATCCCAGCTCCTGGGAGGCTGAGGCAAGGACTGCTTAGATTTCAAGGCTAACCAGGGCTACACATTAAATTCAAGGCCAGCCTGAACTATATAGCAAGGCTGTCTCAAAAAATTTTTAAAAAGAAAAGAAAAAAAAGAACAATATAGGACTCAAAGGTGGCTCACCCCACCCCCAAAAAGCCGGGTGTGGTGGCGCACACACTTGGACGCTGAGGCAGGAGGATCACTGTGAGTTCGAGACCAGCCTGGGCTACATAGTGAGTTCCAGGTCAGTCTCAACTACATAGTGAGACCCTGTCTCAAAAAAAGCAAAAAACAAAACAAAGCAAAACAAAACAAAAAAGGTGGAGGCATCCTTGTCCCTGGTCTTAATTAAAAGTGAAAGCCCGGACAGAGAAAAAAAGTGAAAGCCAACACAAACTCCGTAGAACAATGGGCCAAGACAACTTCCATAACGGTCCTTAGGCTGCCTGCACCAGGGATGGGAGGTGACCTCAGACGGGCCGGGAAACAAAACCTGGTGTAGATCCCGTCCGCATTGGCCTGTGTGACAGACAGAATATAGAGCTGGGCTTGGTGGCACACACCTGGAATCACAGCAGGGGGCTGTGGCAGGCGGACTGCCTTGAGTTTGAGGCCAGCCGGGGTTGCAGTGAGGCCCTGTCTGAAAATACAAAACAAGACAAAAACAATAAAACATAGGGAAATGATGCTGTGTTACTCAGCTTCCTATTTCTCTAATAAAATAACTGAGAAATTAACTTATAAGCAGAAAATGTTTATTTTGGCTTAGGGTCGCACAACCCAGCCCAAGACGGAGTGGCCTCATTGCTTCGGCCCCTGAGAAGGCAGCACATTATGTTGGGCCAATCTGCTCAACTCATGGAAAGCAAAGACAGACAGGAAGGGGTCATGGCCCCAGCCTCCTTGCAGGGAAAGCCTCAAAGACCTAAGTACCCGCCACCCCCGCTGTTGAGGTCCCACAAAAGGGCCACGTTGGAGGGCAGAGGCTTTAACACATCGACATCTGGGGAACTTCAACATCTAAATTAGAGCAGATGGGGTGTCACAACTTCTGTGATTAGGTTATAAAAGTCTCTGCCTCTCTCTGATCACTAATACGGGAAACTCTTCTCACAGAAGAGACGCAGAGAGAGCCGAAGAGGAGCGGAGGGACCCGAAGAGGGGCGGAGGGAACCGAGCCAGGGGGACTCAAGCACCCGAAGAAAAACGAACCGCCCTGAGGCCTGGCCGAGCTATGGAGATACGGCGGGCTGAGCGGGGTTGGAGGCACCTGAGGAGCCGGGAAGGGACTGCTGAGCGCTTGCTGGAGACCAAGGAGCCGCCTCGAAACCTGAGGCCTTAGGACAGAGGGACCCATGGCGAAACGAAGCCCGAGGAACAGAGCCGAGGAGAGTTGGGACCGAACGAGGCGCTAAGGGGTCACACGCAGGCGCAGAGGCACGCGAGCCCCGAGGCTGTGAGCCGGGGGAGGGGTGAGAGTGACGTAGATCGGCGGAAGTGACGTAGGCTAGTAGGAAGTGACATAGGGGAAGCGATGGACCTCTCGAACCTCCTTGGCCCGCTCAGCCGGGCTTCAGATGTCGGCTTTCTTCTTTCTTCTTTCATTTTGTTGTTTTTTGAGAGAGGGTCTCGCTAGGTGGTCCAGGCTGGTCTTTATCTTTAAGGCCCCTGTTTATTCTGTCTTCTTCACTTTTCCTCCTCCTCCGTCCTCCCTCCTCTTTGGAGTTTTCGGGAAGAGAAAAAGGCGCTGTAACTTTGAGTAGCTTTGTTTTCTGAAGCTGCCGTTTTCTCTAATGTACAATTTTTAAAGTACCATTTTTCTTTACTCTTTTCTGCCTATTTTATGTATTTGTCCTATACTGCCATGAGACCTTGTCCAAAAAAAGAAAAAAAAAAAGACAAGAAAAAAGGGAAACTTAATAGATAAGAGGAAAAAAATAAGGGGGTATTGTAGGTGCAGGTAAGAGCGGAGACCCCCCCCCCCAGTTGTGAAACTGGGATGGGTAGGAGAAGAGGAGGAGTGGAATTGATCAAAGTATGTTACGGAAAAAGCATTATCATATAAGGTAAATAAATGCTGACCTAAAAACTTGCAAGCGTGATGCCAGCAGTTTTATAATAGTAAAAAATTAGAAAGTTGAATATTCGTTGGTAAAGAAGCAAATGATGCTAGCCTATACAAAAGAACACTGAGATCATTAAAAGTTATGTTGCCCTAATCATGAAAACACATCCATGGGCCGGGGATTTAGCTCAGTGGTTGCACCGCCTGCCTGGCAAGCACAAGGTTCTGAGTTCAATCCCTGGTATCAAAAAAAAAAAGGAAAAAAAAAAGCTGTTGAAAGACCAGAAAGATAAAAATAGGATCTCACGTATGGCCCCATTATATAACTGTGTGCTTTGTTTTTGCTTTTGTTTGACACAGGGTCACTATGTAGTTAAATCTGTCCTTTAATTCCCAGGGATCTTCCTGCCTCAGCCTCCCAAGTGCTGGAGTTACAGGGATGTACCACCACACTCAGCTATACTTCATTTCTAAAGAAAAGTAAATATTCAAGTTCCTAGCTGAGACAATGGCTTGCTTCAGTTGAGAAATACTGTCCCCTTGGCATAGATGAAATTTCCAAATTCATTCCAGGTAGAATGTCCTACCCGTCTTCTGAAATCCAATCCTAAGTGACATATAATGCATCTACTTTTTTTTTTTTTTTGGATTCTTTAAGATAGGGTCGCCCCTTTGTAGTTCAGGTTGGTCCTGAACTCACTATGTAGCCTAGGCTGGCCTGTAACTCACAGCAATCCTCCTGCCTCAGCCTCCCAAGGGCTGGAATTACAGGTATGAGCCACCACACCCAGCTAACACATCTACTTCTGAAGAGATACAGAATTGGGGAGCATGTCAGTTTCGTGGCCTAAAGCCCCTCATCTGAGCCTCTGCACAGTTGTAACGGTTGCGATGGTACATATGCCTTTGTGGCCCTGTGCGGTGGTGTACACCTGTAACCCCAGCTCTCAGGAAGCTAAGGCTGGAGGTATGCTGCAGGTTCAAGGCCAGCCTATATATAGCAAGACTCTGTCCCCGCCAAAAAAGTAACAACAAAAACAAAAACAATAGACTTTTGTGCTCCTAGCTTCTGTTGTCTTTAACTTTGAATGCATTTCTCCCCATGTTGGGGAAGCATAACTAGAAATATATTCTCATTTTTGCAGTGAAACCTGCCTACAATGGGAAAAAAGAGAGGGAATGTGACAAGTTTCCCCGAAAATGAATACCTTTGTCCAATACTGGAAATATGAGGGGAAAACCTAGAAGGAAACTTGAAGGTGTAGACCTGGAAAATGAGAATAGTTTCTGGGAGGACACAATTTTGGGGCTTTTGTTTTTTAATCCCTTTGGGACCAAGCCATTTTGGTTTCCTTTCCAGGGCAATGTCTTCCCAGGGCCTTAAAAATCTCTTCCTACTAGTGTAATGACACTAGAATCGAACTTGGAAAAAAGGAAGTTAGAATCCTTCCTCAGGCTAAACATCATAATGCTCTCCTGCTGAATTAAAGAGTAAACACAGGTGAATAATTGTAATGGGAATAATGTAAATGTCTTTTAGTAGTCAAGTGGTTAAATAATGCTGCATGGGTCAGAGTACCATGGAATCACTACAAAATGGTAACCTAAGTATATTGATCTGGAAAGATACTTGTAGGGTCCGGGATATAGCTCAGTGGTTCCCCACCTGCCTCACAAGCACAAGGACCCGAGTTTGATCCCAATTAAAAAAAAAAAAAGATATACTTGAGCCTGTAATAAATAAAAAATAGAAGCTCTGACTGCCCCAGTCCCCGATTTTATCTGGACTGATCCACTCAATCCTGTGCTTGTGTGCGTAGCAGTGGACATGCACCACACTCAATACCTCCAGTGCCATTACGACTTTATATAATGCTTTTAAGAATGGCAAAACTTGAGTGGGGGATTTAGCTCAGTGGTTTCCCTGCCTGCCTTGCAAGCGTAAGGACCTGAGTTCGATCCCCGGAACCCAAAAAAAAAGAATGGTAAAACTGTGCCTGTCTGGCACGTGCAAGGTCCTCCGTTTGATTCCAAGTACCAAAAAAAAAAAAAAAAAGGGTAAAACTATGATTTCTATTATGTTCAGTATTTTTCAAAGAAAAAAAGCTACCCCCCCTTTCCTCTTGTACTAGAGACTGAACCCTCGTCTCTGTGCTGAGCTATATCCCTGACTCCCTTTTAAATTTCTTTTAAGATTTCGAGTCAAGACTTCACTAAATTACCAAGTTGCCCAGGCTGGGTTCAAATTTGTGATCTTCCTGCTTCAGCCTCAAGGGTAGCTGGGATTCAAGGTGTGCGCCACCTTGCCCAGGTCCAAACTGACTTAGCGTAAGTGGTGCTGAAGTGAACACATCAAACTGATTTAGATGAATCCTTCCATTTCAAAAATTCTACTGAGAGGGCCGGAGATTTAGCTCAGTGGCACCATGCTTGCCTTGCAAGCACAAGGTCCCAAGTTCAATTTCCAGTACCAGAAAAAAAATTCAAAATAAAATTTTTAAAAATCTACTGGTGAGGTTTTGAAAAAAGACTGTGTAAAAGGCTTCCTAAATAGACATTCAGTGGCCACACCAAGAGCTAGTGTAGACAAGGTCATACGTGAGCTATTGATGGCTGTCTTCAGTGTGCTGAGGGAAGCCTGATTTATTCAGCTACAGGAATCTGCTGTACATAATTTTAACTATATGTATAACTCTATGGAACATTTCAAACTTTTAGGCCTCACAGTTATGTCTGATCAGTTTCCTAACATGCTTGGCCCCCTTATGCCACCCTCAGGTCACCAGGGACAGTCAACTGCCTCCAGCCGGTCTGGTGGCAACACCGTGAAATGTGCAGTTCGCTCTCGCTGTCCTGGGAGTGGGTTACACCCGCGGGCTCAGCCCCCGGACAGCGCCCAGCGCCTTACACCAGATCTGCCCATCGGTAAGTGGACAGGAAAGAGAAAATTCAACTGTATTTCATAATATAATAAACACCTACTCTTCCCCAAACAGACTGCATGACCGTGTTTGTGTTCCTCAACCTGATTTTTAAAATTTGATGGTGTTAAAGACAAGACGCAAATCAGTTTCCATTTTTATTTAAAGCTGTGTATTTCTAAGGAATATATTATACTTACAGTTCAATACCATAAATAATCATTCTGAAATCTTCTCATTAAAGTGTAAACAAAAGGATTCACGAAACCCTATATTTATTTTTATATATTTGTATTTATCAACTCTTCCCGTCAGGTGAGGTCTCTCTTCACAATGAGACACGCCAGTCCACTGGGCTGAGGCACGGCAGGAGTGACAGGTGCCGCGGTGAGACTGGCTGTGAGTCCCCCTCCTCCTCCTGAGCTACACAGCCGCCGTGGGAGTCGGGCTGTCCTGTCGCCCTGGTGTCCAAGGCGCACAGGACCCTGATGAGAGTCCCGTGGAAGCAGGTGTGGTCTGGCAGCTGGCGGTGAGGCTCAGGCACGGGGCACCAGAGCTGGGAGGCTCCCGGAAGTCGCCCTGCTGCGTCACAGATGGCCTGGGTCAGGAACACTCTGGTTTGCTTATTGATACCTAAATGGCTGCACCCTTCGTTACATTTTGTTTCCACTTCCAGCAGTGCTAAACGCTGAGTCAACACAGGATGGAAACTAAGGTTAAGCAGAATTTACACACAGTGTTTTTACAATGTCTGTTTTTTGCGGGGGTTACCGGGGATTGAACTCAGGACCTTGCGCTTTCAAGACAAGCAGCAGAACCACTGAGCTAAATCCCCGGCCCTCTAGTTGTTTTTAGCAAAGAGTAAGTATGGAAAAATGTACAAGTTACTGATTTAGAAATAAGCCAAGAAAAAGGCCAAAGCAGCACGATTTACAGGATGCCAGCCTGGCTGCTTGCCAGCGTCAGGCTGCGATGTCTTTGGCTTCTTCCTGTGAATCCTGTTCTTGAAAACCTGTGACGAATTCAGTGTTGATAACTGGGACCTTAACACAATCTAAATGAACCGAAAACCAAGGTCGTGAGTACAAGTACTTGACCTGTTCTGAGATGGGAGGGCCGCCAGCCCCCTCTCCCCAAGGCAGCTGCTCATCTCCTGTCCCTTCCACCACGCGGCAGCCCATGCGCTCTCCTGCGCAGGGAACGGGTTTGGGCTGCTGGCTCGAAGGGCCTGGCCTTCCACACAGTACCGACATCTGTGCCGCTTCAGATTCTCTATTCACACTTGAATTCTATACCAATAATTCTGCACTGAAATCTCAGATTTTATTTTAAAAATCTGTGTGTTTCTTTTTTTTTTGAGAGAGAGGGTCACTATGGAGTTCAGACTGGCTTTGAGCTCACAAGGATCCTCCTGCCTCAGCCTCCTGAGTGCTGGAGTTACAGGTGTGCACCACCACGCCGAAACTGCAATCTCAGCATTTAGAAGTCTGCTTCATGCTCGTATTCTAAGTGACTCAAACGTGCCTCTTAGAATCTACTACAGGTCAGTGCCTTGCTGAGTACACAGTACAGAATCGGAGGCCGCCCCGCCCGGGCCTGACCAAAGAAGGCGGACAGACACTGCTGGGAGAGCAGGGGGGCAGCATCGCCAGCTCACCAGTCCTCCACGCGGAGTTGCATGTTTGTGCAGAGAAAACTCCGGGCAGCCAGACTCCAAGCTTAATAAATATATATACAAAAAGTCTTTTTGTATATTTCTATAGTATTTTCTCCAAAATCATTAGTGCAAATATAATTATGTCAATAAAAACAAAGCAAAAATATATTTCAAGTATAAAAAGCACCATGCTTGGAAACAACACTACCTAAATGGTGTCGCTGCACAGCAGTCACACAGCTGGGCCCGCCGCTGCGAGCGTCGGGGCATCAGGAGCCCAGGACATTTTTTGGTGAACCGTTTTTACACAACCCTGGGAGATGACGTAATTGTAACCGGCGTGGAAGCGGGGATCGTGTTTCTTTACAGATCCACCTTCCCTCTCCTCTGACCTCGCACAGTCTCTGACCTTCCCTGCAGCGGGGTGACGATGGGCGCCCCGGGACTCACCACGGCACCGCGCACACGCAGCACCTATTTCACACGTATGCATTTTCAAAAGCGACTTTACGCTGGGGCTGCTCTCTGGCTCTGTGCAGCCAGTTGGAATGACGCCCTAGTAAGAAATACGCTGCTTTGCTGGCTTAGCACAATGGGGGGCAACACTAAGGACTGAACCCAGGGCCTCACCTGCAGTGAGCACGCGCTGCACCACTGAGCCACAGCCTCAGCCCCCAACCCCACCCATTTTGTTTTCTGTTTCCGAGAGTCTTGCTAAATTGCCCAGGCTGGCCTTGAACTTGTGATCCTCCCGCCTCAGCCTCCCAAGTAACGGTCTGTAGGCCTAAATGGAGTACTCAATAACTGTATGCTGAGTGGAAGGGTTGAGTTTATAATGCCACAGGAATTCACTAATTTCAGACAGAAACACGAAGCAGCACCCATCCTTAAAGCCTTTAAGAGTGGCCAGGTGTGGCGGCGTGTGCCTGTACTCCCAGCACTCAAGGAGACAGAGGCAGGAGGGTTGCAAGTTCAAGCTCAGCCTGGGCAACTGAACTAGTGAGATTCTATCTTGAAATAAATTTTTTAAAGGCTGGGGATGTGGCTCAATGTAAAGGCCCTAGGTTCAATCCCTAGTACCACCATCACCAAAATGACAATAAGCATAGTACAATGATTAAATGGGGTAGGTGAGCTCTAGTACCACAAGGAAACTACCTCACAGAGTTCGTGTGGTAAGAAGAGGCAAACATGGGAGGAAAATCAGATAGTAAAGGTGATCATCCAGATCCTGCAGGCCAAGCCAAGTGTTCCATGGTGAGTGAGCCCTACAGGGCGGGGCCTACACAACTCAGACCTTCTTGTTTGACTTGTAGTTTTCCTTTTTTTTGGTTTTTTGTTTTTTTTTTTTTTTTTTTTTTGAACG